CTTATGAGGGCAGCCTAGGGCAAGGCGCGGGCAGCCTTGGCGGCCGCGCGGGCAGTCGAGAGCAGCTGCGCGGGCAGCCGGGGCAAGTGCGAGCAGCCTCGGGCAGCTCATTCTAAACAGGTTTCTGGGTTGACTCGGCAACCTGTCGGGTCCAACCCAAAATTTCCGAGTTGGGTTCAAGTCGGGGTTTCGTGTCATGTCAAATATTGACACCCCTAATATCACTCATTTGTTGTGAACCAAGTGATGTGATGTATTCTGATTCATCTCTGAACGATCTAGTATCCGCACATAATAATTTCTCCTATGAGGAAGCACTCATCCTGATATTCTATCAATTTATTACTAGTAGAATGGCAGACTTACAGAATCCATGCATTAGCCCTCATCACCTCGTATCCTTCTGTGTGTTAATGTAACCTAGTAATTAATCTGTATAGATACGCATACTTTATTAAAATAATAAACATTTCTCCACTAGATCTGTGAGCCTTATTTTTAACAAGAGAGAGCAGTGAGTAGAATCCCTAACAACATGATCCAAGTGTAACACTTCAACTAGTTGAATATAAGAAGAAGATAAGGCTTTTCCATTGAGTTTTTTTTTGCTCTCTCTCTCTCTCTCTCTCTCAAGCTTTCTCTATCATTGAAAATATCTCGGTAGCCAATTTATGCTAACTTATTTTCTAACACCAAAGTATGATGTTAGCTGAGTTAGTAAACTATTTAAACATGAAAGAGATTTGAGCTTCGTTTGGGACAAGTTTTTTATTATTTCTTAAAGCAGTTTTTTAGTATAAAAATTAAAAATTTTATACTAAAAAGTTGTTTTAAGAAGCAGTAGGAAAACCATCCAAAATGAAGCCGTGGATCATCAAGAGAATTCTAATTTATATCTCTACCTTCTTCTCCTTGTTTAGGGTCCTCTTTCATGAGGAATAAGAGGTCTATTTATAATTTTCTAAGAGTGACATAGTCAATAAATAGGAGGGAGATCAAGAGTATGTTGGGAGTAATTTGAATGGACTGCTGATATTGATCCTCTTGATTGTGGACCTTTTATTGGGCATTTGAATATCTTAACGATATCATAATTCGGACATCTTGAGCTTGTTTGATTCTTCTAGTGGATCCGCTCGATTTGACTATAAGCATGACATATTTGGAAATCATTTGGTCATCCAATTTATAATTTGAACTTTCTAAATGCACTTCGGCTTTTCGATTTCATCCCTTTTGGGCTCAGATTCAGTAGAATTTGGTGTACTTGGATTTGTCTTTTAGAAATGTTCAGTTCGACTATAAACTTGTTGAAATCAGGGTTCATATAGTTCTAAATTTAATATTAAAATTTTCAAACTCAATTTTGCCTTAAGATTCATGCCCGATCAAGATAATTTTTTTATGATATATCAAACATAACTTTTTTTCTAGTTCATTGAGTGCATGCTTGTATTTGGATATGTGTATATATCCATATAATATTTTATATTTTTATACATCAAGCTCTTACCTTGTCAGACATAATTGAGCTAACTCTTATGTTTTTGGCTCATTTTACAGATGTACATAAAATTTTTGAGATATTGTAAGTTTTCATATTCAACTGTTAAAAAATTACAGTTTAGATGATGACAGAATCCACCAATAAAAGACGAAAAAATGATCAAATTGATTCCTTAACTTTTTCTGAAAGATCAAAATGATCTTCGATAGTATAAAAGTATTAGGAGTCGAATTAATCGTTTAGTACGATCATTAAGATCCCTTCATAAAAAGTCAATGGACTAAAATGAGATTTCTTAATAGTCAGTTGATCATTCGTAAAGAGTCAAAAGATCATTTTGATTCTTCTCTCAATAAAAGATCAGTATGAGTTTTAAATTACACAAACCGTCGAAAAAGATTTCAATTTACAAACAATCAAACAACCCATAAACAGCAGATGACGGTTTCTCCTATATATTTTTTAAATTCAGATTATACAGACTAAAAATTTTTATATAGAAATTATCGTCCAGAATATATATAAAACACTGTGATTAACTCTTCTGTGTTTTAAGTTTTATCATGAACCTGAATAAAAATCCAAATTTGTAAGAGCTTCTAATATTTTCCTGATGTTAACTGCTCCTTACCAAGTCCTGCAATAGTGATTCACAGATACGGATACGGCGACATGTCAATTATTAAAAATATAGGACACGGGCACGGATTGTACACGGTATTATTATTTTCATTTTTTTAAAATAGCATATAAAAATAAGATAATTATAATTTTAAAAATAATTTAGAAATAATAAGTCATTTAATTAGAATTTGTGCTTAAAATGATTAATATTAGAATGTCGAGAGTCGGGCATCGATGTTATTTAGTCATCGAGAGAGGTGATGAAAATATCTTCGGTGCCAAAGAGAAATGAAAATGAGAATTTTTTGATGAATGGGGTATTAAGTGTGGGCGATTGATTCGGTGTTGTGGATAGGAAATAAGAAATTTAATTTTTATGTTTTAAGTAAGTAAAAATTTAATTAAAAAATTTCTTTAAAAAAATAAGATACGTGTGTCCAATTTGTATTAATTTTTTTTTTAATCAGACATATTTTTGGCATGTCTAACACATGTCGAATGAGTGTCAGATACATGTTGTGTCGGATACAGCACGCCTTTTTGAGGAAAAGTATTGATGTGTTATAGATGAAAAGTAAGGATCTTAAATACCTTGTAGCACCTGATTCTTTCATGTCGATGATATAAAAGAAGTGAATGCTGATTTTCAGAGCTAACTTTTATATTTATATTTTTAGTTGAATGATAGTTTTATAGCTATTAATTGCAGCTTATAACAAAACAAAGGATTTAGAAGATTCATAGCTGTTTGTTTTTCATGTCCAATCAAGGTGCTGATTTCTGCTATGGTTGAGCTTTGAAAGATACACTTTTTTATTTTAACCAAAAGAGATTTTATAAAATTAAAAGGAAGAAAGAATACAAATTGGTGTATGAAAACAAGCCTACTCCTCTCAAAATAAAAAAAACAAAAGGGGAGAAGATAACATCAATGAAAGCATTTCATACATGGCTACAGAGAGGGGAACACACAAAAAGAAAACAAAAGGACCCCCTCCAGTGAGAAGGAGAGCCCCAACATTGGTTTGCAGTGAGTACTGGAAAGATAGCACCCAAGGCAACCAATGGAGGAGGCAGCTCATTGACCACTTGAGGGGACCAAGTCCCCACCTGTAAAATCAATAGAAGTCTTCTTCCTCTTCCTCGGAGCTATCGTAACAGGTCCAAGACAAAGAAGTTCCCTGGAGAAAGGGACATTAGATATCTTGGGCTGCTGCTTCCTAAGATTAAGTATCCGATCAAAAGTTTCTTTAAGTTGTTGAACCTTAGAGGTTGTGAACTTAATAGGCGGTTGGGTTTCTTTAGGCATGGCTGATTGTTCCTTTTGGCCTTGGCCTTGCCCTTAGCTCTTCTGTTCACCACATTCTAAGAGCCAAGAGCATGTTCCTCCTCAAGAGTGTCACGGTGCTGCTCCATGCTGGCGCTAACCACCGGTAGGGAGGGCTCACTATCAGAGGGACGATGAGGGGCGGAAGGGCCTTCAACCGACTTGGGAGGCACGGGAGAAGTTGGAGAGTTGGTGGGCGACGGGACCTTCTAGGTGGCAGACTTGGTGGAGCAATTGCTACTAGTGTGGCCAATGAATCCACAAGAGAAACAAAAGTTCGATAGAACCTCCCTCATATTCCACTTTTTGGAAGAACCAACCATGCAAGCCATTAATCCATACCCCAGGCAGTAGTTTTTTTGAGAGGTCGATCCTCACACATATTCTGGCATAAGAAGATCTTCCCCAAGAACTAGTATGTGAATCCATCTAAAGAGGATCACCTAACATATTGGTGAGATAATCCATTAACTTCTGAATTGAATTTTACCCAAAAAAAAAAAAAAGAACTAAAGGGAATGGATTATGAAATTAAAGAATTTATAGTGCAATGTAGTTATATTGAGATAGATTTCTTGTTATTTGATCGTATTTATACATGAGGTCTACTTTAGTTGAAGTAGTTCTGCTAATGTAAGTCAAGAGTAACGAATGGCATCACTCCTTATAATAAGAGAATGTGTCAAGACAATATTATAAGCATAAGCTAGCCTGGAAGACATGTTTTCTAATGGCATTAAGAAGAGTCCTGAAGCAAATTTTTCATTGGGAATGAATTTTAAATGATAGTTAATAATGGACTTTGATAGTCAAAGGAGAGTGGGTGGTTGGCTTGTTTATTCTCCTAATAGGAAGAAAGACAAGGTGCTAATAGATGTCTGATTGTCAATCATTACAACACATTGAAATGGACAATGAAAAAAGTTAGTAATTATTGGCAATCTAGTTAATTGTTCTCCTAATAATAGGTGATAATGCATGCTAGAAGATGAGTTTTGTCAGATGTCAGTGGCTGACAAATATTAAACATCTTTTATTAATAGGCATCGTATGACACAAAATGTTAGGAGTTTGACAACATTTAATAATTAGCTTATCATTCTCTTAATAAGGGAGTCCAAGCAATAGTGAAGAGGGCACTATATATCGATTTTTATGGTCGTTTGATGT